ATTCCATCTCACTGCAAAATACCAGGATACTACAGATTGTTCTCTGATTGGGTCCAGAACATGCTCTTCCAAGAAACTATCCCAAAAACATTCTGTGAGCTCTTCATCCAACTACAATTATTCATTTGATTTTTCCAACCTATATGTAGATTTAAATGCACATTGATATTGCCATATCTTTCTGACAAGGTCCCGTTGTTTGATCCTTTATTACAAGCTTTACCATGTGGTTACTGTTCTGGGACTTATACACCACTTCTGCAAGTGACTTCTTCCTTTTATCATTTTTCATCTCTACTAAAACCACTTGTATATCTCAGTTTCCTGAATTTAGGTCATCGATCTCTGTTGTGCTAATACCATAACTAATTAACAGAACTATTCTTCCACATTTTCCTATCCTTCCTATCCTTCAACATGTATGCATAATTTGCTGATTTCTGTTGGATAGACGAGAATGGAAACAGGAAATGCAATCCTACAGCTGGATAATGGTGTAGTGGAATTAGAAGAGGATGCTACGTTGAACTATTTCAAAAGCCTGAGACATGTTGAGAAGGACATGTAGATTGTAGAGTGGGAGGTGAGGTAGTGCTCAAAGATTTTTTCTTATGAGAAGAATGGGAAGGCAGCAGATTTGAAAAAAGAGCAGGACTGTACAATAAGAAAGATAATCATTAATACTATCAGCTAACATGAGGGCCAAGTAGGGAAATAAATGCTGAACAGTTTTATGGAAATAAGATTTAAAGAGCAGAACATTACTTCTCAATAATCTAAGTTACTGCAATAAGAAGTACATCATGTGTATCCTGTCCGTTTATAGCCAGCACAATTTCTGCAGTTCCTTTTAATGTCACACCGTAATTAAACTTGGAAATTAGTGTACAGCACCAAAAGGAGAATGATGCAATACTTTGGTCACAAAATTAGAATAAAGGTAAACAGAGACAAGATCTGGACAATATCCAGGTTTGGGCTGACAAGTGGCAAGTGACATTCGTGCCACACAAACTCCAGGCTATGACCATCACCAACACCCCTTGACATTCAATGGTGTTTACCACCATCGAATCCCCCACTATCAACATTCTGGGGGTTTTTACTGACCAGAAACTCAAATGGACTCACCAGATAAACACAGTGGCTACAAGAGCAGGTCAGAAGCTAGGAATATTGCGGCGAGTAACTCACCTCCTGACTCCTCAAAACCTGTCCATTATCTACAAGGCACAAGTCAGGAGTGTGATGGAATACTCCCCACTTGCCTGAATGGGTGCAGCTTCAACAACACTTAAGAAGCTGGACACCATCCAGGACAAAGCAGCCCACTTGATTGGCACCACATCCACAAGCATCCACTCCCTCCACCACCGACGCTCAGTAGCAGCAGTGTGTACTATCTATAAGATGCACTGCAGAAATTCACCAATGCTCCTCAGATAACACCTTACAAACCCGTGACCACTTCCACCTAGAAGGACAAGGGTAGCAGACATATAGGAACATCACCACCTCCAAGTTTCCCTCCAAGCCACTCATCATCCTGACTTGGAAATATATCACCATTCCTTCCCAGTCAAAATCCTGGAATTCCCTCCCTAATGGCATTGTTGGTCAACCCACAGCAGATGGACTACAGCGGTTCAAGAAGGCAACTCACCACCACCTTCTCAAGGGCAATTAGGAATGGGCAATAAATGCTGAGCAGCCAGCGATGCTCACATCCTACAAATGAATAGACAGTAATTGGAGGGAAAGATAGACAAAAAATATAGAAAAAGGAATCAGAGGAGAAAATGGATGACGTAAATAATGGATTGGATGTTTCTGACATCTATAAATCTTATAAGAGCAGTGCAGAACAGACAGAACTGCAGATCTATGGCAATCAACAGTCCAGGAAGAACATGATTCCAACAAACAACAAAGCATCGAATTACTCAACATGTATACCTTTTTTGCATATATCTTCAGTTTTATCTTGATGTTATGCTAACTAACACATTCAAATAAATATAGAATCTTCTTCTGTATTTGTATCATTTTCTTAGGTCCTGGCTGCATCAGCAGATGTGGCATACCACTAACAGAGAAAGCTATACATCTCATTTGCACTGGCTGTAATTTATAAATTGCACCTCTGTTTATGTCAAGAAGTAAATTACCCTTTTAATTCCAGTGTAAACCGTTTTCAGGCATTAGTCAAGTCTAATAACCAACAGACAAAATCAACATGCTCATAGCTTGGTAGTGTGAATGTACTGATTAACTAAAGAAGCAAAGTCATGATGAGTAGCACATTTGTAACATTGCAGGAATACTAATGGAATTTTTATTCCACAAACTGATCTTGTAGGTGTAAGTGGCATCTATTCTTGAAAAAGTGATTCTGAAATAAATTACTAGACATGGAGATGCCAACCAATTAAAAAAAAATAACATATCTGGGTGAATTTATATTTTGGTATTGTTTCTTCAAGCGTAAGTAACTCACTTCTCTTGCATGTGGTTAAGTTTACATGTTGCCCACCACTAGCCTGGTTAATTGAAAGTTTGTCTTCTTGCTGTTCTCACAGTTGCTTCATGCGTGCTGCACTCCAAGGTGAAACAGTCAGCCTACTCTGTGCTGTATATATGGCAGGTTCCTGCTTACCACCAAGCCAACTTCTGGCAGTCACTCATTTGCATACTACTCGATTATTTCACAAACCACCAGAACAAGGCATAGGAACAGGAGTTAACCATTTAGCCTGTCAAGTCTGCTCTGCCATTCAATATGATCATGGATGATTTTTGGCTTTACTTCCATTTTCCGGCTATATCCCCATATTGCTTGATTCCTAGACACCAAAAATCTGTTGGAAATTCTCACCTGACCCAATTTGAAACACATTTTCTTAAACAATAGCATTTAAATCATCTAAAGTTCTCAATGGCATAACAGGAGAAGACTGTGAATTTCACTAGCTGTGAAGGCAGTCATCATGATTCAACACATCACCAAAATTTGACTAACAACCCATCAATATTGTGTGGACAATCATGATTCCCACGTTAATCAAAGTTTCATGCAGCTTTCCACCAAGGTCCATTTGCCAAATCCTTCAGCGCTGAAGAACTAACAACAGTGGCAGGGCTGTGAATTGTAAAGCCCCTAATCAAGAAGCTGCACACAAGTGGCAGATGCATGAAGGTTGTTGGGTACCTGCATTAGGAGGAAAACCAATGATAACATCTTCGACAAACACACAAATCTGGCAGAGTACTGGTCTTATCAGTCACTACCTGATTTGGTTCAATTATGCCAAACATTACTGTTCTGATAAGTCAAAACCTTACGTAGTTATGGCTGAGTGCACTAGATACATCAATGTCTGTGCAAATTCCTGGCTATAGCACTGAAGACTTATGTTCCATAACTAGCAGCACTCCAAGCCAAAGTGTTCCAGTATAGCTACAAAACTGGCATTTGTCTGACAATGTGTAAAATTGTCCCGTTAGTTCTGAACACAAAACACAGTAGAAACTTAATGCATTAAATTACTGCCCCATCAATCTACTACTTTAATTCATCAATAAATTGATGCAAGGTGTCAATGCTTTCAGGTGTAACCTACTAACTAATAACTGACCTTCACACAAACCTGATGCTCTCTTGCCACTATTATGATTGCAGCACAAACCCTGCATTAAAATACTCTTGGGTAATGAGTACCTTCACATGGGTCTGGTGGCGATGTGGTAGCATCTCTACCTCTGGGTCACGAGGCCCAAGTTCAAGTTACACCTGCCCCAGAGTTGTGTAATAACATCACTGAACAGGTTGATTAGGGAAGTATCTGACTACCTTTACCCCTGTGCATGGAATCCAAAATTATGGCAAGCTAACACAATTTAAAGCCAAACTGTACTTGAAGGGGTAGTGCATTGGGGATTAAGCAGATGCTGGAGGACATTTTAAAAGCCATTCTATTCTCAGAAATGGCACAATACTGGAGATAAAAGACTCCAAATACTTCCAATGAAATCATTAGACAGAGAGGCAGAAGAGAAGAGATTCATTTTATCTACAAGGGACATGAAATTGGCCAGAATTCTCTGGGGCTTAAAGGGAGTCAAAACTCAAAGAGCTAGATGCAATGTAGCAAAAAGGTTCAATGACTTCAGACAAGTGGTGAATGTCAATGAAGGCAATCTTCCAGTAACATATCTCACCAATTGCAGCACTAGACTCACTCCCTGACTCAAAACACTGCACTTCCCTGCATTCACTTCTCAACGATTGTTATCAATCAGGACTCATACCTAACATTCACAGCTTTATCTCCCCCTTGCATATTTTGTACTGGTGCTAGTCAGTCATGACAGCTATGTTATCCAAACATATTACATCACATTCACTTTCACACTCCCTTTTCTCTTGTAGGGCAATCAGAGGAAGCAGGTGCTAAGCAGTGGGAGTTGGGCCTAGCTGCAAGTTATAGAAAAGAAACTTTTTTAGATCTGGGTGCCAACAATAATCAGACAAAATATAAAATAAAGAAGCTCTTGGATATTCATCCTACCAATAATTTTTGAAACTTCTTTAAAAACCAAGTTGTGAATAGTTAAGCACACATTTAGCTAACAGTATATTTATTTTCTGCTATACAAAGTTGGCTTTACATATTCTTATGTAACTATTATAAACTGGTTATTTTTAAGGCCATATATTCTTATACTTGCAGACTAACACTATAGTTTTTTTCCCGGATCACAAGAAAATTCTCCCCTGATGCTGGATTTATGCATTTGTGTAGAAGAGAATCCTGGAACAATCTGAGAAGAATTGCTGGGTAACAGCAGAAAGCTATTTTTTGTCAGCTAACACTTAAATGTGGGAATAAAATCAAAACTTCTGGCCATTAGTATCAAGCTCTGACAGTTGCCTTATATGCTTATGTCACTGTTCATACAATAATTACTGCATGGATTATCAAACATGAACCGTAGTTTACCTCATTAAGATGGTATTTGCTCCTTTCAACGTGTATTTGGAAAATGTTTTCCAAGATCCTATAAAAGATGTAGAAACAAATTAAGCAGAATGAATTTGTTTTTGTTTTACATAGGATGACAATATTTATGTTTCAAAATATTTAAATAATTTTAGTTGTACAAAGTTGAGAAGGCTGTTAAAGTTACGTATTTACAACTCTCCCAGAGCTCAGCAGGCAAATCCAAAGCTTTGTATTGCCTTGAATCACAGAGAAAAGATAGATTCCAAGTTCAATCTCTAGTCTACACTAAGTTAGCCAATCTTAATTGGGGTATTAGAAGGTGTACTACAATTGGACTTGGCTATAGTTTCTATTCTTGACTACTGTATAGCCAAGTATGCATTTGATGATGACTGGATTGTGCTTGGTTATAATGCTACTCATAAGGGCATTAGATTTATGGCTACTTCAGAGTTACAGACACAACTTCAGTCAAAAGATATCCTTATACTCTAATAAAATGTAAACATATCTGTTGAAAACAGTGATGCTCCTCCATTGTACACGTATCAACCCTGAACATCCAGGCTTACTCATAAAATATGGTCATTTGGTGAAGTGCTGGATAGGTTAGTCAGTACTTGAAACCGCATTTCATACTCCCATACAAGGAAATCAATGAACAGAAAGAAAAATTGAGTAGGCTTGTCAGTATAATATCACCCAGACTGCTTCACCATCCTAAATTAATATTTCACACTGAAATGCACTGTTCAACAATGGTAGGCAGGATTTTGGAAACACATCATTATTTTCTCTCATGGCAGCAAGGTACCTCACCAGGAGCTGCCCATTGGAAATTTAAAGATGTTGGGTACAAATGTATGTGCTCTATGCACCCAGATTGTCATTTTTGTTCTTGATGGTTAAGACCTTCAATGTGAAAATTATGACCTGTTATGATCCCGCATCAGACGGCCTGATTTATGTTATGATCTGGCATGGGGCCAGAAACTTTTAACTGTAAAACAGACAATGTGTGAGATCCAGGGATCTTGCTAAGAGAATAAAGCCACAAGATACATCACAGCTTTGAACAAACATCAACTTTCCTATACAATTTTAGAACAGGAAGACAATCTACAATACATTTTCAACTTATTTCTATCACCCAGCATTTACATGTGGCGAATATGAGTAAACAAGCTAATCAAATGGATGACAGTCCACATCAAATAGCAAATGCAATCAATATAGATCCAACGGAATTCCCAGCAATTCTCCCCAGATGCTAATACCACAGTGGGTCAATAAATCTTATTAAATTTCACAAGGAATTACAATTCTTCACTTCTGCTGATCTGGTCTTGAAACTCTCTCAACAAGCATTCTGTCATTGATTGCCTCAACGATTCCTTCTTGTCTGATTAATCACTTTCCTTTTCTGATTCAAGGCTCTCTGGATTCTGAAAGTGCACCCCCCAGCACTCATTCACAAACATTACTGGAGCTGCTTATCCATAGAAAGCTTCACCCAGCTAGTCAAGTCCCTGTTTCTTTCCCCACACTTGAATCCTGTTCAGTTGCATCAAGCAAAAACTACTGGTCAGCTTTTCAACCAGCACTCTCTCGACTATACAATGAAGTTTTAATGTTCACAGGCTTCCTCTGAGTCCCTCATGCCTTCTCCAACACACAGCCAGCGACCTCATACTTTCTGATCTCCTTAGGACCTCTTTTCAGTCCCAATTCCAACAATGAGCTGCTTCCTAATTTCAAGAACTTTTTCCCAAATTCATTCTAATAGCACAGAGCTATCCAACTTCTCTTGATTCCTAAGCTGAGTCCTAAGCTTTCACAAAATCTGCACAGTTCAGCTGCCTTCCCAGCAGTAAAGCTAACTGCAGCACCCCTAAACATGGAGTTTACTTCTCTCTATCTAACACATTCACTGCCTATCCCCTTTGAACTCCTCTTCTGTGATGCTCAAACTGTTCTGAATAACCTATTGAAAACCTTGAAACTGGTTCCACCCTTATTTCTGGGCAGAATTGAATCTTGCTACCTAGGATTTCTTGGAATAGTCTGTTTCATAAATGTTCCCACTTATAGATTGCTGGTTGCTCTGCACACAGATGTAGATAAATAAAGAATTTCATCTATTTATCATTACCAATTACTTCTCCATGCACCCAAAATTGTCATATTTGTTCTTAGTGTGTGAGACCCTGTAGCTTCAACATGAAAATTATCACCACAAAAATAACTTACAGTAAATAAATATACTTGTAAAATACGACAGTTCTGGGAAATGTCCTATTTCCTCTAATTTACCTGTTAGAATGGTAACCTCTGAGCAATATATCATCTGTTACTTCTTTGAGAAACTGTAAATATTTCATTTCATTTTCCCTGGAGAAACATGATATAAAACAGCAGTATTATCATTCTGTTTGATGTTTGATTTACTCACTCATGAAATGAGGACATTGCTGGCTGGACAAGCATTTTTTGCTTATCCCTAGCTGCCTTTGAGAAGGCGATAGTGAGCAGCTTCCTTCAATTGCTGCAGTCCATGATCTGTAGGGAGACCCACAGTGCCTTTATGAGGGACCTCTAGGATTATGACCCAATGACAGGGAAGGAATGGTAATATATTTCCAAGTCAGGATGGTAAATGACTTGGAGGGGAACTGCTGCACTTGTCATTCTAGTTGGTAGTGATCATCGGTTTTCAAGGAGCTGTCGAAAGATGTTTAGTGAATTTCTACAGTTAATCCTGGAGATAGTACACACCGCTACTACTGAGTTTCTGTAAGGGAGGGACTGGATGCTTGTGGATGTGGTGCCAATCAAATGGGCTGCTTTGTCCTAGATGGTGTCAAGTTTCTTGAGTGTTGTTGGAGCTGCATTCATTCAGGCAAGTGGAAAGTCCTCCACCACATTCCTGACTTGTGCCTTGTAGATAGTTGACAGGCTTTGGAGAGTCCGTCTCTATCCGGTTTTTATTGCTACTCTATTTATATAACTCACCCAATTAGTTTCTTGACAATAGTTACCCCAGAACATTGATAGTAGGGAATTCAGTGATAATAATACCATCAAACATCACCGAGCAATGGTTGGATTGTCCATTAGTTGACATGGTCATTGCCTGGCATTTGTGTGGCATGAACTTTACTTGCCATGTTTCAGCCCAAGCCTCAATATTGTCCAGGTCTTCCTTCATCTGGCCATGGACTGCTTCAGTAACTGAGGATTCATGAACTGTGCTGCATATTGTGCAGTCATCGGTGAGCATCCCCACCTCTGACCATATGATGGACATAAGGTCATTGATGAAGTAGCTGAGGATAGTTGAAATTAGGAGACTACCTGAAGAACACCTGCAGAGATGTTCTGGAGCTGAGGTGACTGATTTCCAGCAACCATATGGAGAGATTTCACCCGATTCCAATATTGCTAGGGGTCCTTGATGCCACACATGGTCAAATGTGGCCTTGATGTCACCTCACCTCTGGAATTCAGCAATTTTGTCCATGTTTGAACTAAGGCTGCAATGACGTCAGAAGCTGAATGTCCCTGGTGAAGACAAACTGGGCATCAGTGAGCAGATTATTGCTGAGCAGGTGCTGTTTAGTAGCACCATTGTTGACACCTTCCATCACTTTACTGATGATTGAGAGTAGACTGATGGGGTGGTAATTGGCTGTGTTCAATTCGTCTTGCTTTCTGTGTACAGGACATACCTGGGCAATTTTCCACGTTGTTGGGTAGATGTGTTGTAGCTGTACCACAAGATCTTGCCTTGGGGTAAGGCAAGTTCTGGAGCACATGTCTTCAGTACTGTTGCTAGAATATTGTCAGGACCCCTGTCCTTTGCAGTATCCAGTGCCTCCAACCATTTCTTGTTATCGCACGGAGTCAACTGAATTGGCCGAAGTCCAGCATCTGTGATGCTGGGGTTCTCCGGAGGAGGTCAAAATGGATCATCCACTCGGCACTTCTGACTGAAGATTTTGTGAATGTTTCAGCCTTATCTTTTGCAGTGATGTGCTGAGCTCCCCCATTATTGAGGATGGGGATTCTTGGGGAGTCTTCTTCTCCAGTGAGTTGTTTAATTGTCCACTACCATTCACAATAGAATGTGGCAGGACTGCAGAATTTTAATATGATCTGTTGGTTGTGGAATGATTTAGTTCTATGGACCATTTGTTGCTTATGCTGTTTAGCATGCAAGTCGTCCTGTTTGGTAGCTTCACCAGGTTGATGCCTCATTTTTAGATACGTCCGGTGCTGCTCCTGGCATGCCCTCCTGCACCCTCCACTGAACCAGGGTTGACCCCCTGGCTTGACGGTAATGGTTGATTGGGGGATATGCCGGGCCATGAGGTTGCAGATTGTGTTGGAGTATGACTTTGCTGCTGCTGCTGTTGGCCCACAGTGTCTCATGGGTGCCCAGTCTCAAGCTGCCAGATCTGTTCGAAGTCTGTCCCATTTAGCACAGTGATAGTGCCACACAACACGATGCAAGGCACACTCAATGTGAAGACAAGTCTTTGCCTCGAGAAGGATTGTGCGGTGGTCACTCTTACCTTACTCTTACTCATGGCAGATTAGTGGGGTTGGAAATACGTTTGTTGCTACCCTCAGCACCTAGCGTAGTTCTCTTCTAGCAATAATTTTCTTTAGGCCCCTTCCACCTCGATGAGTAGTGCTACTGTCAAGCCGCTCCTGGTACTGAATATTGAAATCTCCGACCCAGAGTACATTTTGAGCTCTGGACACCCTCACTGCTTCATCGAAGCATCATTCAACGTGGAGGTATACTGATTCATCAGTAGAGGGAAGATGGTAGGTAGTAATCAGCTGGAGGCTTCTTTGCCCATGTTTCACCTGATGCCACAATACTTTACGATATTAGGAGTCAATGTTCAGGACTCCCAGGCAACTCCCACCAGACTGTATATCACTGTGCCACCATCTTTGCTGGGTCTGTGCTGCTAGTAGGAAAGCATATATCCAGGGATGGATATGGTAGTGTCAGGGACATTGTTTGTAAGGTATGATTTCATGAGTATGACTAGTCAGGCTGTTGCTTGACGAGTCTGTGAGACATTTTGGTACTAACCCCCAGATGTTGTTGCAGAGAACTTTGCAGGATCTTTTGGGCTGCTTTTACTATTGTTGCTTCTGCTGCCCAAGTGATCTATCCAGTTTCATTTCTTAGTTGAGATTTCGTAATGATTGATATGACTGAGTGGCGTGCTAGACCATTTCATATGACAGTTAAGAATTATCCATGTTGCTGTGGGCATGGAGTCACATGTACACCAGGATGGCAGTTTCCTAGCTCAGTAGTGAACCAGAAATAGTAGGAACTGCAGATGCTGGAGAATCTGAGATAACAAGGTGTAGAGCTGGATGAACACAGTAGGCCAAGCAGCATCAGAGGAGCAGGAAAGCTGACGATTTGGGCCTAGACCCTTCTTCAGAAATGGGGGAGAGGAAGGGGATTCTGAAATAAATAGGGTGAGAGGGGGAGGCGGAGAGAAGATGGATAAAGGAGAAGATGGGTGGAGAGAAGACAGACAGGGCAAAGAGGCGGGGATTGAGCCAGTAAAGGTGAGTGTAGGTAGGGAGTTAGGGAGGGGATAAGTCAGTCCAGGGAGGACGGACAGGTCAAGGGGGCGGGATGAGGCTAGTAGGTAGGAGATGGGGGTGGGGTTTGAGGTGGGAGGAGGGGATGGGTGGGAGGAAGGACAGGTTAGGGAGGCGGGGACAAGCTGGGCTAATTTTGGGATGTGGTAGGGGGAGGGGAGATTTTGAAGCTTGTGAAGTCCACATTGATACCATTGGGCTGCAGGGTTCTCAAGCAAAATATGAGGTGCTGTTCCTGCAACCTTCGGGTGGCATCATTGTGGCACTGCAGGAGGCCCAGGATGGACATGTCGTCTAAGGAATGGGAGGGGGAGTTGAAATGGTTCGCGACTGGGATGTGCAGTTGTTTCGTGCGAACCGAGTGTAGGTGTTCCGCAAAGCAGTCCCCAAGCCTCCACTTGGTTTCCCCGATGTAGAGGAGGCCACATCTGGAACAGCGCATACAGTATACCACATTAGCAGATGTGCAGGTGAACATCTGCTTGATGTGGAAGGTCTTCTTGGGGCCTGAGATGGGGGTGAGGAGGGAGGTGTAGGGGCAGGTGTAGCACTTCCTGTGGTTGCAGGGAAAAGTGC